TATGTCTGTGTAGGATCCTCAGAGACTATATGTGAAACAACTTCAGGCGGTTAGTATAGTCGCCTTGAAACAAGTTGAAGGTAGAGTCCGTGCTATGTAGAGATACATAGAGTGCTACTAGTGTATGTATACTGAGCAACAACAGGCTCGAGCGGGCATCTTATAGGCAGCAATCCATAGATTAATGTCTTTCATGAGACTGCTGAATAGGCCACTGGCCCGAAATTCATCATAGCTAGCGCTCCTTAGGTTATGAATATCGGTGCATGTCAAAGCAGAGGCCTCAGAAGTCTGGCTAGCGCCCTGCTTAGTCCCATTCGTCGAGCGTACAACACACGGAGAAGTGTCCTTAACTCTCAAGTATGCGACGTGCTTGGTTTCGCGGTCCAAGTCCGTCGATTTAGGCTCCTTCCCCTCTGCCGGTAGGTGCGAAGTGTGGTAGGTACTACGAGCCCTCTGCCCCATTCGAAAAGAGATTCGAATGGTTCACCGGTTCCACCGTATGCTCTCTGGGTTGATTTGAGTACGCAGTGCGCTTCTGATGCTGTTGCCACGAGCTTCGCGTAAGAACAGTCCAGAAATTCCGGATCGTATATGTTGTCCAGCACCACGGTGAGGGCTTTCTGTACGATAAGATAAGGCCACGCTTGTGGCTCAAATTTACCAGCTTGTAATTGCTGACTCAATTTTGAGAACCAGTTGATCGTGAGTGTCGCTCCCGGAGTCATATTACCAGGATTACCACGGATGAGTTCATAGCAGTATATTAGGAAGGATACGTCCGAAACAACCTCGATAAGGTGCAAAATTTGCCATGAACATATCGTTCTCTCAGCAGAGTTTCAAGCTTCGGCCGGCACTTTCCAGAAATCCGGTTGTGGAGAGGCCGCGCCCTCTGCCATCGATTTGTGACTGCCGCCCTTCAGTTCCCCTACTACGGCGGCTCTGTCGACCTTCTCATTATCATTATCGAGGGAGACCGATCCCGTGATTGCATACTCGCCGGCGCCGAAGGCGCCCTTGTCGGTGGTGAATGCTCGTGTAGTGTATTCTTCGTGCCTTACTGAGGCCGAAGGCGCGTTAGGGATTGCCTGTATCGCTCTGATGTTATATGCACCACCAGAACCATTCCTAAGAGTCCAAGCCATTACTCGCTGACTTAGAGAATCATGTCGTTCAGCCACTACATAATCGAGTTCGTTATCCTCATTCGTTCCGACTTTTATCTGCCGGCTAATTGGCCAAAGTGAGCACTAAAAACCTTGCGAGAAATATCTTCCAAGTCATTACTATGGCTGTCAAAATCGTGCGCATCAGCATGATCACGGGGGGCACGCAACCCGTGCCGCTGGCCCGGCGGAAACATCCAGGAGGCACGCAGTGTTGGCCCGTCTGGGAGTGTTATGCGTTCGAGACGAAACGCTGATGGAGAGCCGTATGACGGGAAACTGTCACGTACGTTTCGGAGGGCAGAGACTCACCTCTGACCCCTACCCATTTTAGGTTTTTCTTTAACTGAAGCTATTGCTTTATTCGCCTTAATGATGGCTTTCTTAATTTTATGGGCGACCGCGACACTACCAAATGAATTGCTCCTTTGCACTGTTTGTTCTCTCAGGCGCGATAGCGAAGGAGACGCTGCAGTAGTCCGCAGCGAGATGGACACGACTTATTTTATTTATCCAACCGCGTGGTTGGAGACACCCAAATTGACGAACTCAAGATGGGGACCACCGCCTGTCGTGAAAGGGGGTCACTGGGAAGGACCAACCCTTGGTCAACCCCCAACCATGTCTACGGGTTTTTTCCCATCTACTACAAATCAAATCGCATCTTACTTAGTAGACGGTTGCCTCTTAGTCTTTGAGTGAAGATAGGGAGACTTTACGTTCACCCAGAAGAGCCTGAGTCAATCAATTCAATATGTAAATAGCAGATATAGATTGAAGTTCAAACTCTTACAGTGGGTAGAACGCAAAGTAAGATAAGCGATTGATTACATAATCGAGCAAAGAAGGAAAGAAAACTTATGCTCCGTGAGGTTTCAGTAAGCTAGAGCAATCAATGAATTCAATCCCACCGGGCCATCGTCAATTTTAAATTCCCATTAGCTAAGGGTTCAGTCTAGATAAGAGCTGGGATGGTTGGATTTGGCCGGCGGCGTATTATCTTGTTTACTTACCCACTCTCTAGACTCAATTATACCTGGAGAGAGAAAGAAGAAAGTCCATCTCTCATTTCTCAATCACAAGAGATGAAGATAAAGTCCAAAAAGCATCCTGAGGTTCGAATATGAGCCTCGTAATCTCGCTATGTGCTGGAACACCTCGGAAGGTACGAAGTACGAAGTCCTTCTTCGCTTAGATTTCTAAGCGAATGCCATACATTGGGACAAGTAGGTTATCAGCAGGAAACCACAAAAAAGTACGGCCGCGCGCATTGTTTTCGCCTAAGGTAATTTCGTTGCCTTACTTTCTAGGTGACTAGAAATAGGAAACTCCACTGTATGCGGGAAACTCCTCGAATAGATAGAATGAATTTAATTTCTAGATAGTAAGTAATAGCCCATGGAAGAATATTCTACGTTATAGCCTGCAACTAACTCAGCTTCCGCTTCTGGTAAATCAAAAGGAGCACGATTCGTTTCCGCTAAACAAGAAATAAAAAACAGAATCAATAAAGGAAAAAGGGGAATACCAAACCATATCTGTTTTTGTGCTATGACGATTTTCGTGAAATTACAAGAACCTACGCAAATTAATACAGTAATTATAATAAGACCAATAGAAACTTCATAAGAAACCATTTGAGCAGCAGATCGTAGTGCTCCTAGAAAAGCATATTTGGAATTACTAGACCAACCTGCTGTTATAATACCATAGACACCTAAAGACGAAATAGCAAATATGTAAAGGTAGGAAGTCTAGTTTTTACTCTTATATGTGGTATTCATTCTTGTTTGACTCTTGGATTGAGATCTACAGACTCTCGAAAAACTAGTTTCTTCTTTTTTACCACATTGCCTACTTTATTACCTTTAATTCTTTTTTGCTAATTTTTGAAATGTGGTGGATAATAATAAAAATAAATAAAAATAAAAAGAGAATTAAATTTAGTGAGTGCGTGAGCATTGGCGATTTTTCATTTTTTTTTGACATAGCTAAATGCCCTGAAAATTTATAGATGTGTACTTCACATAATTCAAAACCCACTAAAAACGTTTCAAAAAATAATAAAATTGTTTAGACCCCGAACTAAAGTGAAAACAAAAAGTAAAAAGTGAAAAAATACGTGGGCGATCACGTTTTGACACCGCCATCGGTGGCGATTTTTAATTCTTATTTGGCTTATCCAAATGACTTAAAACTTTACAAGCATGTACCTCACATCATAGAGAACGCACAAAAACAAATTCAGAACAAAATAAGTATTTGGCTTATCCGAAATAATTGTTGGCGGGGGCCGAACGCCGTCGGGTTTGGACCCCGTACGGGACCCCAAACGCCCGTACGTACGGAGGTCTGCCTGGGGACCTCCGTACGTACGGGCTGGTGACCGACGGGTATGGAGGAAGCTGACAACCTGTCCGATGTTACGAGTGCGGTGAAACTTGCTATTACAAGAGTCAATGTCCACGGTTAAGAAACCAAGGAGGATACGGGAGGGGAGGTAACCCTCCTGTGGTTAATCTACCGAAGCAAGTCGAAGAGACACTTACAAACATGAATGGGCTGGTACAGTACCTCGTCGACAAGGACAGAGTGATTGAGAATGAGAAGTGATTAAAGGAAGAGAAGAAGAAGAAGGAGGATGATGAGAAGGCTACGAAGGAAGAAGAAGCGAGAGTTGAGCTCGCGAGGAAAAAAACAAAGGAGGATGAGGATGCAGAAAGAAAGTGGGAGTTGAAGATGCTATTAGCGGAGCAAAGGGAAGAGTATGAAAAGAAGAGGGAAAAGGAGAAGATTGAGTATGAAAAGAAGTTGGAGAAGATGGAGCGACTTGTGAGAAAGATGGACATGAATCCGGAAGGAAAAAGGAAAGGAAAACAACGGGTCGTTGAAGTGGTAAGCTCTGGAGGTGAAGAAGCCGAAGCTTCTGATCTTGAAACACCTCTTCGGGACAAGAGAAAGCGCAGGGATTCTACCAGAGCAGTGGAGAATAGTCCACCAGTCGACACTCCTCTGAAAGTTGGAAGGTGTGAAGGCCCGGGAGATGAACAAGTAACCCCAGCCAGCACGAGCAGAAGAAAGGGACGAGGCCGACCGACGAAGGCCGAAGTCGAGGCGAAGCGCATCCTGAATGGCGATGATCCGTGGGAAGGAGTTCCTGCAGGTGATAAGTACAAGACGGAGGAAAGTTATCAGAAAGCGATATCAAAAGCCCTCTCAACTTTCTATCCGGAGACTTTGAAAGCGATGTGTCGAGGAGCTGATATTTTGTTCCGAAACACCAAGGAAGCGATCGATGATCTCACTTAAACAAGAGTGATGTATTGGGTGAGAGGAAGACGCATCCCAGGGACGTCTGGCGCTGGTAATCAAGCTGTGGTTGACGAGATACGGGGCATTGAACACGGCGGAAACGCCGGAACTGACGACAAGTGAAGTATGGCAGATCTTTGGCGAGTTCCTCACTGCCCGCCGACAGTGCGTGGGTAGGGCTGGAGCTAAGAACCTGAAATTACTCATTGAGAAGATTTTTAGGAACTGCCTACTTTACCTTTTGCTGTGCGGTGAGATTAGTCGGGGGAATAAGTTTTTGGATTGTTTTGCGATATTTTTGATAACAATAGGTTAGGATGGGACAATCCCGAATGTTGTGTATATGTGTTGTTGGATGCTAGGTGTAAGCCTACGTATGTGGGGAAGACCGAACGCTCTTTGAAGGAGAGATGGGCTGAGCATGTCGGTAGGTCAATTTCTTGCAATGGAGGTAGATCTAATAAACTCTATGCATGGTTACGGAAATAGGGGTATGACACCTACGTAGCGCTGCCTGTTGCTTTTTGTGGTAAGGATGAGTTAGTTACACTCGAATCTCGTATTATTAAGAGATGGTCGTCGTGTTCGAATGTGGTTGGACGGGATAAGGGAGGGAATAAACGGAGAAGAAGAGGACGAAAGGGTAAGAAAGAGAGGCGAAGCTCAGAAAAATCGAGAGTCCGTAATGAGAAAGTGGCAAAATTTGTCAGTGATGGGGGAGTTACCTTCGACAAGTTGTCAGATGTGATTGCTAATGCTAAGTCGAGAAAAGGTAAGCGGATCGTATCGAAAGGGAGAAGGATTTGGATTGAGAAATGGAGTGTGGTTAAAAGAAGGTATGGAGGGTGATGTGCTGTTTGATGGAAGGGCTACGAAGCTCTCAAAACTGAAGGAGGAGTTGGAAGAGGGTGGCGTGCTGACTTTTGTCCGGATAAAGGAAAGGAAACCTGGTTCACCTGACGTGCGGAAGCTTCTGCATGGACTCCTGAAACAGCCTTGGACACGTAAAAGACTGTTATGTATGAGCCTTGTAGAGCTTGCCACTGCTTTCGCTAATGTACGTTCTTTTTCAAGGAGGGAGACAAGATCTACGTTGAAAAACGTGATCGATGCGGCTGCCAGAAAAAAATGGGGTGTTAGTCTGAAGAAGAGAATTGTTGTAGGCATAAGATTTGATGACTGTATCTCGAAAGTGAGTATAAGAACTCTTGTTAATAATAAGATTGAACGACAATATAGGAATAATGAGGTTTCGAGGCTATTGTGCCGCGAGTTACGACTTGTTTGGCGTAAAAACCAGACTATCGGAACTTTGCTCCATAACCATCGATCGGCTAGCCGAACTCTCATCCATCGATCATCCCCCTTCTTCTGTCCAAAGGACGCCCCTCTTCCTCTAACTCTCACCATAACATGATTCCTGCCCAAAGCACTATAGTGGGAGATAATCCAATCAACAGCAGTCCTGATAGAATCGTGGGGCAGCTTACTAAACATTTCTTTGATGTCGTAGGCTGCTCCAACGACTTCATAGTCCTTCCCATCATAAAGACACTTGTTCACTTCTTCCAACCTTTCTTTCAACAAATTAGTTGATCGAAGGTTAAAGTGGAGTTTCTTGGGCAAAACGAACAACATATGATTAAGTGCTTTGGCAACACGACCGTTAGCTGTTTTTGCCGGCTCAGTGAATGAAGGACTAATGTGTCGAAATTTTTCCTCGTCTTTGTGTTTTGGTAATGCATTAGCATTCCCCCATCTTCCCTTTCGGTCCCATTTACCCACACCTTCCCGCCCTCTATCTTTGAGGTCACTTTTACACATCGCTAGGACATCCTCTTCAGTCCTCCAAACAGGCTCGAAAGCCGGGTTCCCCCAAAACAGACATTCCATCCCTAGCGCATAGAAGACTGGACAGCAGACCAGTGTCTCAGCAGCGTTCTTGTCCATAGGGCACAGAACAAACCCTTCCCATCGCTTCTTTAACAGCGTCGAGATACCAATTACTACCAATCATACTTTTCTCCTTTCTTAAGCAGCATTTTGCCTTCCCAATCGAGCATCTCATATCAAGCCCTGATCTCAACAGGCCATCATTGACCTCCTTGCACAACACCCTTTCCCCGTACTCACTGTCAATACTTCTAATAACATTATTTGCATTGCACACAAACCTGCTAACGTCATCCCTGCTACTCAGTCTAAAGACCACGTGCCCCTTCCTCTTCGGAAGAGAAGAATCTGCGCAATTGCAGACAGCAGTTTGAACACATAAGATCGATGGTTAACTTCGATCTCAAGAACACATTTTTGTTCGCGTCGGATAGGCTCCTGCAACAGAAGGAAGGAATACCAATAGGTAAATCTAGTAGTCCGCCTATTGCCTGTATTTTGTGTGCGTACTATGAATGTTTGTTTTTGAGCAGATTAGGCGTGGATAGAAGAATGATTCGTGGGATTCGTCTGGTTGATCGATGGTTGACTTCGATCTCAAGAACACCTTTTTGTTCGCGTCGGGTAGGCTCCTGCAACAGAAGGAAGGAATACCAATAGGTAAATCTAGTAGTCCGCCTACTGCCTGTATTTTGTGTGTGTACTATGAATGTTTGTTTTTTAGCAGATTAGGCGTGGATAGAAGAATGATTCGTGGGATTCGTCTGGTTGACGATGTATCAGTGTTCGTGAAGAGAAAGATGGGATCGGGGGAAGAGAGAGTTGGGAAGCTACTGAAACTGTTTGAGAGTGCATATGATAAGAAGTTGGTGCTTAAGAGAACTGGTGACAGAAAGGGTGAATGGGGCTTCCTAGGTTGTAGGGTTGCAATTGAAAGAGGGAGAGTCAGATGTTGGTACAGGGCTAAAAATTTCGAAGAAGTCTGGGATATTGATAGCGCTCTTAAGTATAAATGCTTTCAAGACTTTGAGTCCTATGTTAGTATGAAGCAGAAGAGGATGCTTGTCCACAGCACACTACATAGGATTAGGGACAGTTGTACTTCAGTAAGCGGGGCTGAAGAAGGGGTACTCACGCTGAAACGCGAACTACTGAAATCAGGGTGCCTCGCTAGCCTTTTTGAGAAAGTTCTGACAAGGTTTAGCTTGCGGGTAGCACCAGAATGGAGGGCACTTGCGGCGAGGGTTAACGCTGACTAAAAAATAATTCAGGGTACTTACTTTTTGTACCCCCTGGAGTTCCTTTAGAGAGTTTCCTGCTGCCATTGGGACCGTTTTTTGGACTTACTGCCCGGTACCTGGTGGGGCTGAGACTATACATTAGAGGAAAACTCTAGGAGTATCCCTCAGACCGGAGTCGACAAACTCCCCTTGAGAAGGCCGGTGGCAACGACCAAAACGCGGCGTCGGGGACGCCTTGCGACCGCTATGTTCGTCAAAGTTTTTTCTATCATTGCGGTCTGAGTATCGAGAGTGACGAGGGAGACAAAGATGTGTATTATCTGTCGTCGCTATCGATAATTTCGATTCTCTGAAAAACGTACTTGGTCTTTGTTCTGAGTATTGTTCATGTGTGCATGAACTCCAAGTCGTAGGTCTGCGCCTGCTTCTAAGTCATTCTTACTTCGAATTTAGCTATGCCAAAAAAAAATGAAAAATCGCCAAAGATGGCGGTGTCGAAAACATGCTCGCGCACTCACTAAATTTAATTCTCTTTTTATTTT